CCCCCCCCTTTAACTACTGTGCCTTTCCTATCTCTGTTCTCTCCTGGCCTCTCTAATTCCTCCACCACCTTAAACCTCCATCCAGTCTACAGGAATCCAAATCTCACACTTTGTTTGTTTTTTTGTTTTACTTCTTTTTCTATATTCTTACCCAGATTTCAACTCTTTTTGTCACTAACTTTCACTGCTCCCTAAATACCAGTATTGTGCTTCCACTTCCTATTAGCTCTGTTTCCTGAATTCATCAACCAAGGATTCACTTGCTATGTGCTAGGCAGTGTGCTGAGTGGTCAGGATAAAATAGCAATAAGTAAGACCCACAAAAAACACTGTCCTCAAAATCCAAAGGTGATTAAAACAAAACAAAACAAAACAAAACAAACAAAAAAACCTGTTTACAGGAATGTGGTAAATGTGACAATTCACACAATGACATACTGAGAAGAGGAAAAAGACATCAACACTGATAGCAACAGGTCCTGTACTGAGCTCACATGCTGTATTTACACAAACTATTCAAATTAGTCCTCATAACAATACTAAGACAGGAAACTAAAACTCAAGTTATTGCCAGATCATATAGCTGGTGACTAGGCCAAGATTTAAAATCAAGTTTGTCTGGCCAAGGGACTCATGAGATAGCTCAGTCTACAGAGTGCTTAGCAAACCTAAATCATTCCCAGGGCCTACATAAAAGCCGAGTACAACTGCACACAATTGTAAATCCCAGCCCTGGGGAAACAGACAGGTGAATCCCTGGGGTCTGCCGCCAAGTCATTCAGTCTAATCAGTGTGCCCCAAATCTCCAAGCAAAGACCACGTCTCAGAATCAAACCCAATGACTCTAAAGGACTAACGCCCGAGGCTCACCTCTGGCTTCCACATTCAGTGCACACATACGCATGTGCACCCACAAAGTTTGTGAGGCCAAAGAACCACTTGTCAACTGAAAAGAAATCTAGATCTGATAACTTGAGAAACAAGTCCAGGCTAAGGACATCACCTTATTCAGGACCCACCAGCATCTCAAGAATGTCTCAAACCAGTCAAGGAAGGTATCACCCCAGAAAACAGCCAGCCTCCCCAGAAATGACAAATATCCAGAAGCACTCAAGCTGGCTAACCAAAAACCAAGCGCAGCATCTCTCCGCAGAAGCACTGCTGGTTCAGTGGCCGAGGACATGAAATGTCCAAGGTTTAAACTGACACTGCTTGCTTAGCGTCCTAAGACAATGAGGCCTCTGGAAATTTACCTTAACCTTAACCCTCAATTTCCGATCCTTCCATCACAGAGCTCTGCCACCCTGGACCATACTTTCGTCACTTTCCCCTTCTCTGCCATCACCCACTGTGTCAGGTGGGCAAACTAAATTCCCTCCTCACTGGTCCTCCTGAAGCCAAACCACCCAGGCGAGCATCACCATGGTGTGCAGACCACTCTCAAATAAGCTTCTCGTGTAGAGCCAGAAGATGTGAAGCAGTTTGCAAAGACCCCCACAGTCGCCATTGGATCACGCGGCAGCGGGTGCCTACTGCTCCATCAAGCTCTTCAGTCCTGACCTGCGATACACAGCTCTATTCATCTCACCCATCTGCAAAAATGGCGCTCACTCAATCACAATCATGAGCTGCAAGGCCTCCCCTCCACCCCTCGAAGCCGCCTTTCCCTGAAGCTAACGTTGTGTTTAGCTAGTCACAGGCCTTCTCTCTTCCATGTTGAAACAGGAAGGGTCAAAAGCAGGGGCTGTTCTTTGCACTTCTGCTGCACAGTTTAATGGTTAAGGCACAGCCTACAGAGGCAAGCTACAAACAATTCACAGTGCATCATCTTCTGGGTGACTTTGGGCAAGTTACTGAATTCTCGGTGTTTCATTTTCCTCATTTGTAAAACAACAGTTAAAAATAGGCAGCATCTCCTCAATGAGACGTGAGGACTTAATGGTTATGTGAGCCTGGTCCTGACATAGAAAGCATTTGATAAATGTTAACTGCTATTATTACATTTGCAAGAAAAAATCAGACTACCGTTATTAACATCAGCCATTGTCACCATTAGAATCTCCACGTGTGGTACCACCTCAAGAATGAGGTACACACAGCATACATGCAGGACTTGCTTGTTACAGGAAGGAGTAAAGTCTCAGTTTGACAAGCAACTTTTCAGTTAACTATCTACAGACATTCATTCTGAGGCGCATATGTCCAGGAATGATGAGAATTAGCTGTGCCTGGTTGGCAGGAGCTCATCCTGTTAGAGTGAACGACAGGGAAAGACAGGAGGCAGAGCTATGTCCTCTTGGCCCAGGCATACGCTGTGCATACCTGCGGCTCTACTAACTACAGCCGGAGTTCTGCAGTTAGGCCTGGCATGAGGTGAGAAGGGGAAGCAGGTACTTACTGAGCATGCCTCTGTAGTTGAGGTCCATATCCCGGCTCTCTGAGCGCACTTTAATGGCGTCTAGGATAGCATCTGGAGACAACAGTCCTGAAGGCCTCACGACATTCAGAAGCTCAGTGAGGCTCATCAGAGGTAAACGCACAGCCTGCATGATTTCAGCATGGTTCTCCTTTGCATTGTGCTTACACCAGTTTAACAAAGCTAAAAAAATATCTTTCTCAGGAGCAGCAAAGGAATCTCTTAAAACGATGTTCAGCAGTGCTGTCTGCAAAGGAGGAGAAGGCAGCGTAAGAGTCAGCGTGGAGCACAGCAGCATGAGCACAGCCACGTGGTCAGCAGCAGGGCTCGATGGGACCACAGGCAGCACTCCTTTCCCTGTGTCTTGGCCTTCCTATCTATCCCCTTCTCCCCTCTGGCTATGTGAACAAGCAACAGCAAGGAGTCAGGTTCGCAGCTCAGGCTTGAAATACCAGCATTTGGAGGGCTGAGGCGGAGGGATTACTGTGAATCTGAGGTCAGCCTGGCCTACACAGTGAACTCAAGGACAACATGGATTACTAGCAACTTTCCTACTTGGGTTTTTTGTACCACTATATAAAGTCATTAGTCTTCCCACACACACCTTGTAGCCACATCGTCTCCCGTTTTAAAGTTATAGAGCAATTTTGCCATACACTATTTTGCTTGTATTTGTAACTCTTCTCTGCTGCACTTCCCTCCGCTTGCTGGTGCCATCTCTGCCGCCCTCAGCCCTGCTTCTCCTTCCGTGTCACAGGTATTCTAATACCACACACACACACACACACACACACACACACACACACACACACACACTCTCCTTCTGTCCTACCTAGGCTCTTCTAGTTTCACGGCCTACACCTACTCTGTTGGTTGACTGGTGTCACAAGCTCGTTATCTGGGAAGAGTGACTCCCAACTGAGAAAATGCCCCTGTAAGACTGGGCTGTGGATGAGTCTGTGGGGCATTTCTTTTTCTTTTCTTTTGCATTTTCTTTTCTTTTTTTAATAATACAAACATTGAATATCTTTTTTTCAAGATTTTATTTATTAAGTATACAGTCTTCTGTCTGCATGTGCCCTGCACGCCGGCAGAGGGCACCAGATCTCATTCAAGGTGGTTGCGAGCCACCATGTGGTTGCCAGGAATTGAACTCAGGACCTCTGGAAGAGCAGTCAGTGCTCTTTAACCTCTGAGCCATCTCTCCAGCCCCTGTGGGGCATTTTCTAGATTAGTGATTGATGTGAAGGACCCAGCACACTGGGAGCAGTGCCACCCCTGTGCAGACGGGTCCTAGGGTTGTACAAGAAAACAAGTCTTGGGGAGTAAGCCAGCAGGCAGCACTCCTCCGGGGCCTATGCTACAGTTCCTGCCTCTAGGTTCCTTCCCTGACTTGCCTCAGTGATGGAGTTGTGAGCTGAAATAGATCTTTTCCTCCCCAAGTTGTTCTTGGTCATGGTGTTTTTATTAAAGCAATAGGAACCAAACTAAGAAACCTGCCCCTTACATATGCTTATTTCTACACATATACATACAATGTAAGGTCCATTATGAGAGCAACAGGTGAAATTTGTCTTTCTGAGTATGGCTTGTTTCAACTAATGTAATAATTTTCAGTTCTTCCAATTTTTGTCATCATTTTACTTTTCAGCTGAACAAAATTCCACTGTGGTTATGTGCTACATCATTTATTTATCTGTTGATGGAATTTGGCTGCCTCTAGGCTACTTCCAATTTTTTAGCTACCGCACACAGTGCAGTAATAAACCTGTATGTACAAGTTATGCAGGAGTGGTATAGTTTTATAAAACAGCAAGAACAAAGATGGCAAACTATGCACGTGCACGTGTGTGTGCACGCAAGTGTGTGTTCTTTTAGAAGGTATGCATTTGCAAGTCAGTAAGATACGCCTATAACTAAAAATTCAAAACCTTTTGTGTTACAGCACCCCTGCAATATCAGGCTTGCAGTCCTCCACTCTCTGGATTGACTTCCATAAACACTGATGCAGCCCTCAAAATTTCTTGCTTACAGAAGTGTGATAATAAAAAAAAAAACAAATTGGAGTTCATTCAAATCAAGATGCATAGCTCTTTAAAGACACACACACACACACTGAGAGAGACAGAGAGTCACCGCTCCAGGTTCAATGGCAGATTTAAGTGACACTTTTACAGTGGTAAACTGTAAACCAGCAAGAGAAGCACCAGCAGAGACTTAAGAGACATCCACTGGCACTTCAGACCTCCTTTACAAATTTTCCCTCTGTGCCACTGACTATATATATCCCAGCCCTATAGACTTTTCCCTTCTGCCAAAAAAGAATTCCTAGATATATTCTACATCAGAGAAACAAAACCAAAAAGCAGTATACAATAACAACAACAAAATCTTGACTGTCCATATTAAAACCAACTACCCAGGAGACCAGTCTCTTTTGCACAGAAAACTTAACAGAGAAATCTGGAAAAGAGAAAGAAAAGTAGAGCCAATAGCCTTAAAGACCTAGTGTACCAGAAGCCTGCGGCAAGTACTAGATCAGATGACTTGTTTTATCTTTGCTTCGTGGACCACAATGGTGTGGTCCCCATGTAAGCACAAGTGCAAGCCCAGAAACGAATGGCAGAGCAGCACACACCTTGGAGAGGGAGAGGAAGCCTTCGCTGGTGAGTACCTCCTGGGCATTCCTGTCCATAAACATGCAGCACATACAAGTTAACTTGGGGAGCGAGTAGAGACTGGCAACATCAAAAGTCATACAGACGTTCTGAATGTTAAGTATGGTGCAGAGGTACTCGGAAGTAGAATCCTCCAGCTCTGGAAATCCATATTTATGAGCCAGGCTCAAAAAGTCCAGCAGCACCTCCTCCTTCTCATCTGTCAGTGTCGCCCGCCCAGTGTAGATGTACTTGAGTAGCATCGTGAATGCTTCTGCAGTGGTGTCTTGGAGAGGGATTTCTGCTTCAGGCTGAGACTCTCGCATGCCACCATAGAGTAATGCTCTGCACACCAGAGAAGAAACAGTCAGAAGACCTCAAGTACATATAATAATGGTTATCAATACCATAAAGACATAGATTTGCTTAATGACACAAAGATCCAGCTGGAGAACACAAGCGACTGTAAATGATTCTTTAAAAGAAACAAGAGGAATAATTTAAAAACCATTCTGAATTAGTATCATAAACCACTGAACTAAACGAGATAGCCTGAGAATGCAAAATTACACAGAAAGTTGGAAGTCACCATTTGAGAGGAACGGTGAACTCAATATAAAGATGTTCCAGGTCTACAAGCAGTGTAGAAAGTAAAACCCCATAGGAAAATGATGAGACACACACTAATAGCTGCACAATGAGAACACAGGTTTAAGGGACTATATAAATGGGCCCCTCTTTTTGCAAAGTAATTTAGAAATACACCAAATTCAAATCTGAAATGTACACACCCTTCGATGCACTAATTGTTCTTTTATACCCAACTAGAAAAAATGTAATTCATTAAGGATACATAGGAATGAGTACTGAAACGCTGGGGAAAATCAAAATGTCAAAATGAACATTGGGTTGAAACCCTGTGGCTGCATATCCTACATGACCGTTAGGAAGACCAGTTGTGAGTGAGGGGTTTCGGTGCTTACCGTGAGAAGTCCCCTCTTGTACAGATAGCATGCTCTTGCCAGGAAACTGATAAGCTCTGATGACAAGATTTAATCAGGATTCTTCTCCCCCCATCCAACTACTGCTGTTAACTTTGCTTTGCACAAGAATACTGTTATCAATGAGAATCTAAGAGAGTTTTGGTGGTGGTATGGGTGTAAGCCCAAGTGAGTCACAAAATACTATAAAGGTTCAATATCTACAGAAACACAAAGGTCAATGAGAGGAATGTATTCCATTAGCTCAATACCATTTTCAAGTTTCTGAAAATGTTTGGATTTCTTTTAAAGAATATACTGATCCCATAACAGACATTCACATAGTTGGTTTTTCTCCCCAATGGATTCTTAAGGAGAACAAAATATACAGTATTATACAGAAATAGTAAACATAAAAGGTTCTATCATTACTTAAGAAAGGTTTTTTTTTTTGTTTTTGTTTTTTTTTTTTTGGTTTTCTGAACATACACACACACATACACATATATATTCATTGAGACACTCACTAGGTAGACCAGGCTAGTCTTGAACTCACAGAGATCCACCTGCCTCTGCCTCCCGAGTGCTGGGACTAAAGGCGTGCGCCACCAACTCTTGGCTTCCTCTAGTTTTTTTTTAAAACTGTTTTTTTGTAAATTTATATTTATTTCATTTTTGTTTCGAGGCAGGGCTTCTGTGTAACATCTCTGGCTGTCCTGGAACACTCTTTGTAGACCAGGCTGTCCGAGATCCACCTGCCTTTGTCACCACGCTGTTTTTAAGAAATGCATTTATTTAGTAGGTGCGTTTGTGGGCGATCCCAGCAAGAAAGGGTTTTTAAAAAGTACTTTCATAGTACTAACTAGACTAAATGCAAGAAGAGGGAAAGGAAAGGCATATTGAGGACAGGAACCATAAATGATGGCCCAGCTAAGGCCAGATGTGATGGAAACTGACTCTTAGAAAGGGCGACAGCTTCTTGCTGATTTCTAAGCTTCTGATTTCACTTCTAGTGTTTTCTTTGTAAAGGATGGGAAGTTGTGAAAATAGCCATAAGTTAACTATGGTATTTCTAGCCAAAGAACACACACTCCCAAGAAACACAAAGATGGCAAATGTGGTTCCAAGGTGTGCCTGTTTCCCCATCAAACGAATTTTCCCTAAGCCACCAGGCATCTCAACTTCTCAAAGTAAAACTATGACTACGTAGCAGCTTTATCATTATAAACAGACAAAGGTTTAGTAATGTCAAAGATAAACAATCACATATGCAATAAGTCACTGGTGGTTTCCTTTTAGCCAACATTTAAAATTTAAGAGATCAGTAAATTTTATAACCTGGAAAATTAAGGATCTAAGAAATATCTATCTATAAGTGGGGTCATTCACATTTATAAAATATGAATATATACATACACATAATATGCATATATATATGTATATATATATATACATATATATATATATATGGTTTTATTTCTAATGTAACTCTGAAGGTCTCAGTCAATACTTGTTTTAGTGAGATCAGACAAATCTGGCAGAGCTCTGTGAGGTATCCACAGGTGTTGGCTGCAGTAATCCAAGGCCAAGAAACACACATTCTGGAAAGCCCACTCCCCTATATGATGAGAAGCCCACCCACCAGTAACTCAGTGTAAACCCATCCATCATCTACTTGAGCAGAGGGTAAAGGGGACAGACACACAGCTTGAGAAAGGCTCTTCAGACCTTCAGAAAGAGTAATTGGTACTGTCTGGCCCAGACAGCTTTCTAACCCCTAATTCAAAGCTGGCTCCTAAAGAAAAGGTAACTCCCAGAAAGTAACAAATCCACAAAGCCAAAGTTCTTTTCCACATTGTACTAAAGGATCCCACTTATTGCTACATTTAGGTTACATATTTTTCACACCATGATTTAAATCTAAAAAGAAAATTATTATACTTACCGAAAATACTGGCACCTAGCTGCTAAAATGACCCTGTGAGCAGGAAAGCGCTTCTTTTCCACAACAAATGTAACATCGCCATATTCTTCACCAATCAACAAGGCACCAACGTGCTCAGACAGAATGTGGACGTGATCAATTTCCCCCACTGCAGTGAAGGGGCGAAGAGGGTGGCTGTTACTCATCGTGTGGAATAGATGATAGTCACTGACCTGTCACACAGAGGAAGAGTGTGGTTAGTGAGGAGAAGCTAGACACAGAAAACTACACATGCTATCAGCCAACCAAATTCTACCCCAAAGTCCATCATCAATGATTGTTCTCTCTTTTTGAAATAGTCTTCAAATATGCAGTCTAGGCTGGCCTCAAAAACAATATAGATCAGGCTATCCTAAAACTCACCATCCTCACACCTCAGTCCCAAGGGTCAACAGTTTCCTTTTTTATATTATGATAGTGATGATGATGAAGATAATAATGATGTTTTTGTTTTCCCAAGATAGTGTTTCTCTGTGTAGCCCTGGCTGTCCTGGAACTCACTCTATAGACCAGGCTGGTCTAAACTCAGAGATCCGTCTGCCTCTGCCTCCTGAGTGTTGGGATTAAAGATGTGCACTACCACCACTCAGATGGTTTCCTTTTTTTTTTGTTTTTTTGTTTTTTTGTTTTTTCGAGACAGGGTTTCTTTGTGTAACTTTGGAGCCTATCCTGGCACTCTCTCTGGAGACCAGACTGGGCTCGAACTCACAGAGATCCGCCTGCCTCTGCCTCCTGAGTGCTGCAATTAAAGGCGTGTGCCACCAATGCCCAGCCAGATGGTTTCCTTTTTATTAATCTACTTATTCGAAGAAGCAACTCAAGCTGTTTTAACTAACTACATGACTGTAACTGCCTCATCGCACTAGGAAAGCAAAAACGCCTGAATATTCGCATACTAGCAGTGCTTGGAGTCATCACAATCTAGAAACACAGGCTCTATGCCAAACACCTCATGGAATGGAAAACCAACCAGCAGAGTATGCCAGCACTGGGCACAGACTGATTTAGCAAGGCTGGATACAGCTACACCCAGCAAAGTCTTTCAAGTACAGATCTAGGAATAAATTATAAACAGTAAATTTAATATTTTATGTAAGAGGTTTTGGTCTGAAACCACCTTAAATAATTTATTTAAAATAAAACCAATCTTCTGTGGTCACAAAAATGACTTACTTTATTAATAAAAAATTTACAGGAGCATCATAGCCCTCTTTCAAAATGAGAATCCATCTGGCTTATTCTCTAGACTGCTACTTCTCAGCCTGGTTAAGTGCCATGCTCTTCTCATCCCAGCGCACTCAAGAGGCCAAGGCAAGATTATGGGTTCAAAGTCAGCCTGAGCTACATAGTAAGATTCCTATTTCATACTGTTGGCTCTAATAATCAGAATACCTGAATATCACTATATTTATAGGCACTTCCTTGCCTTTATGTGCAGTCTGTCTATAAAAATAAATGAAAATCAAGGGCTGGAGTTTGACTAACACATCCAAAAGGGAAGCTAAGACCTTAGAAAGCTAGAACTTCTTAGAAGGTTTTATTTGTAAGCACGCCTTTTTCGGATGTCATAACTCAGCAAATGTATGCGGGTCTTCATTAGCACTCAGATCCCCGGGTACAGAGGTGCCTGGCGGCTCAGAACTAGCCTCTATATTGCAGAGACCAGGGACAATCTGTACTAACCATCGCTAAAGGCTCAAGAGCTCTCATCCTCAAACTCCCACATTATATGAAGTCTGTCTCCTGTGTCTACAGGGAAACCTTCATGCAAAAAGTTCTTTAGCTGCTTGTTATTCATGACCAGCCCAAGAGAGAGACCACCAACAGCAAGAGCTGTGATGAAGGAACACCGTGGATTACTGGCAGCATCCTCTTCTGTTGCCCAAGCGTGGTGGTTTGATAGGTTCACATGCTTAAATGGCTGATCCCCAAGGTGTGTCATTGTTGGAGGAGGCGTGACACCAGGGGAGGCTTCGGAAGTTTCAGAAGACAGCTCCATTCCCACTGTGCACGTCCCTCCTTCTTACAGTTTGAGTTGGGAGCTCTCGGCTGGCCCTCCACCATGCCTTCACTCCACCATCACAGACTCTAACCCTCTGAAACCACAGTCCAGTTACATGCTTTCTTTTAGAAACTGCCTTGGTCATGGGGTTTTATCACAGCAATGAAAAAGTAAGCAGAACACAGAACAAACTCCCTTTTCCTCAATTGCACCTTCCACCTCAGTGAGTCAAAACTCAACCATCCCAGGCATTAATAGGACAACAGAAAAACGTGTGCTACATTTAACACAGAAGTTGGGGCACTTTCTATAAAGGCCCCATAATAAATATTTTTGGCTTTATGCACTACACAACATTGTCATACATGCTCAATTCTGCCTTAAGAACTTAAAAGCAGCCATAGGCAATAAGTAAATGAATGAACACGGCTGTGGTGACAAAGCCATTAAGAAAAGAATGGGAGGGAGTCTGAGGGACCAGCTCATTGCCAACAGGAGAACCTGGGTTCCATCCCAAAAAACCCACATTATAAAGCAAAACCGGAGGGCTGGAGAGATGGTTCAGAGGTTGAGTGTCCTCTTCAAGAGGACCCAGGTTCAATTCCCAGCACCCACATGGCCGCTCAGAACTGTCTATAACTCCAGTTCCAGGGGTTCTGACACTTTCACACAGACACACAGGCAGGCACACACCAATACACATAAAATAAAAATTAAAAAAATCTTTTTTTTTTTAAAGGACATGGTGGAAAACAAACTGTAATCCCAATACTGGAAAGCAGAGATAGGTGGGCCTCTGGGGCTCACTGGCTAGCCAATCTAATCTAGTCAGTGAGCTGCAGGCCATTGAGAGATGGTGCTGAAAAAGAGAGGGAGGGAGGGAGGCAGGGAGGGAGAGAGGGAGAGAGGGAGGGAGGGGGTGAGAGAGAAACAATAAAGAAGATAGACAGTGCTTGAGGATGGATTAAGACCCAAAATTGTCCTCTGACCTCTGAGACATAAATACTGACATAATACATGTGCACGTGTGCAAACACACATACTCCTATTTAAAGAAAAAAGGATTTGATCAATAGGTCATAGTTTGCCAAATGCTTAACTAACATGATCAAGAACTCTAAAGGAGGGATCAGACAGGGATTGAGATTTGTTTTTTCTGCTAGTTCATTCCGCTGATACTCAAAGAACATGGTCACTTCCTATGTTTAACCATCAAACTCTGAAAGCTACTAAATTCTGACTTCAAATCCCATTCCTCCCACAGGAATGCTCACATCACTCTGCTACTCCAAACCAAACAGACTATTTGCACCGACAGTATGCACCGCATGAGCCTCATGAATATCCTCTGGTGTAACATCTCTTAGTATTTATCTAAGTCATGGCCAAGACTCAACCCACTGCTAAATGACTCTGGATGAACAATGACTGATTTTCAGTTATCTAGCTCAGTGGGATATTTACAGTTCATCAGCTGACAAATCATGAACATTAATTCTAGATATGTAAATATCTGCCTTAATAGGCTCACCAGATCTTCACTTCTCAATACATACAATTTCACTTTGCTAAATTTACATTTTAATTATGTTTTTCCAAGTGGAAATATAAAGTGAATAGTGCTGGATACAGAAAGCACTTAATGTGGAATAAACACAATTTTTATTAGCGTATAGAAATAATTTTAGTTAGACCAGTGATTCTCAACAAGCTTGCCATACACTGGATTCACCCAGGAAACTCAGAAAAATGAAAATAAGACGCTTGAGTCCCACCCTTCAGAGTCTTATTCAATCAGTGTGGAATGGGACACAGGCAGCAGAGTCACCTCACTAAAATGATTAAAGAGCAGTGTGGAGAAGAACCATCAGTTTAGATTGTTGTGGGTTCACGTTATGGTTTGAATGTAGTTGTCCTTTGATCACACAATCATGGAATCTATAGGTGATAGAATCAGGAGATGGCAAGTAACTTTTAGAGGTGAGCCCACCCTCTGGAAAGTCTTGAGGTCACCGAGGATTAAGGCAGTTCTCAAGGGAGCTTTTGCAGTTTTCTCAAGAGTTGAAACCACAGCAAGCTTAGGCCCACTAAGCTCTCTGACTTCCTGTTTCAAGACATTTTTTTTTTCCTTCTGTAAGCATTGCAACTCAGATGGAAAGGGATTCTGGCACTCAAGAGCCAAAGAATACCAAGTGTTACAGCTCAGATGGAAAAGTATTCTGGCACTCAGGAGCCAAAGAATACTACAGGTCACAGGAAGCACAGACGCTTACAGCCTTGCTCTGAGAAAGGCTTCCCCAGTCTAACAGCTCTGTTCTGGCAGGGGAGGGCTTTCCTAGTGAAGTTGCTACAGTTAGGTTCTAGTCCTCAACAAAAGTGTTACAGCCCTGCTCTACTCTGGATCCTGAGAAAAGTTGTTACTTCTCTCCTCCACTCCATTGAGGGAAGGAAGGTCTCACCCAAACCTCATTCAAGATATTTATTGGGAGGGAAGAATCCAGCAAAGTGACTGCCTCTGCCAGGGTGAAGAAGACAGCCTCAAACTGAATAGGCACAGGATTTATATAGGGCTTCTTGGGGGTGGGGTTTTTCCAGAGAGATTTCCAGGGTGGGAATTGGTGAGATTTCAGTCTCTGAGCTCAGAGTGGCTAGATCTTGTGCTCAGGGACTGGTTGATTTTCTGCTCAGGGTCAGGAGCAGATTTAGCTCTGGTTCCAGGGCCAAAGTGTGTTTCTTTCACTGGTTCTTTTGGCCCTAATTTTAGGGCCAGGGTGTATCTTGCACTGGCTCTGATTCTAGGGCCAAAGCGTGTTTCTTTGGCTCTGCTCAGGGTGTGTTTCTTTGACTGGCCCTTTCTCCCCACACCTTCTACAATGTGTTCCCATCATTGTAATACCATCTTGCCAACATTAAGTCCGGGGCCAAAGGCAGGACTATGCCCTTGAGCTTCCAAAATACTAAACTAAATAAACCTCTATTCTTTATGAAGTCAGCCTGCTTCAGCTATTCCATATGGTAATACAAAGCTAATATAGCTTGCATTCCCTAGGCACACAAGTTCAAAGGCAAAACGTGTCCAGAAGAAAAATAGGTCCTGTCTTAGGTTAAAATTGCTGTGATAAAATACCAAGACCAAAAGCAACTTAGGGAAAATGGCTTTATTTCACCTTA